TCAAGAAAAAGAAGGAAATGCATACATTATTCAGAAGGCATAACCGAAATGGAGCCAGCTTCTCCTCCTTATAATCATCAAGCAAATACATTTTCCAGATTTCAGAATATAACACCTTTCTTCTGAAACATTTGTATTACTTCAAATTATGTGAACAGGAGACTACTGACAGGAACAGTGGTTACCACCATTAGATATGATTCTCCTTGTCTTTACCTATTCATTAATACTGATCATCTATGAATTTATGAATATGAATGAATGAATAAATATAACAATATAATGAATGAGTGAGTGAGTGAGTGAATGAATGAATGAATGAATGAATGAATGAATGAATGAATGAATAGCATGGGGAATGGATGCATAACTGCAATTCACTCCAAGTTCAAAAGTTTGCCCCTTTCACTCACTCACTCACCCCCCCCCCCAAAGAAGCCATACTGATATTTGATAATCAGTAATAATCAGGTTATTTCCATGTATTGCCATTCCTTAATCCTTCAGAATATAGCATGATGAAAATTGATGTGAATGAGTGAGCTAAAAATATGATCTGTTCCTCCTAACAACTCTCTCTTTCCTCTATTAATTCAAGGACAGCGCCAGCTCTGGTTTAAACCACTTCTTTATCATGACAGAATCAGAGCAGGGGGAAATGATGCAAGTTCCCCCCTCCCCTATTGTCAGATAGTAGTAGAAGTGCCTTTCTTAGCTATGTGAATAACATTGGGAATAATCTAGCATTTATGGACAGTTTGTACACAGCTGACACAGAAATACACACACACACACACACACAGAGGTTACATCCATATAGCATACAGAGGTGGGATGGAGCCACTTCATTACATGGCACATCAAAACCATGGCCAACTTGTCATACATCTATATTCTGCTTACTGAATGTTTCTCAATGCAGTGCTATAGCTGTAATAAACTGTCATTATTTAGATGGGATGGAGAAACATGCTGGTAAAAATAGCTAAATTTCAATCCATCCCAGCTGATAACATGGGGAACCATGAAATCTAATGCATCCAGCAACTTCTCTTCATTTTGGGCACACATGTACTATTTCAAATTCAGCTAATGAAATAACAGGTTCAAATAAAATTTTAGACATTCCTTACAGGAATATATTTTAGGAAATGTTATTAAAATACAACAACTATCAGAATTGCTGGGATTAGCAGACGTGAATTTGTCCTGCAATTTGTTTTATCTCAACCATTCCTCTTAAGTCATAAACTATCAGAATTTAAACACCTACATTACCGATTTTATTTCATTCTTATGTAACATTAAATATGATGGAAACAAAGTTAAGATTCTACTCATTCAAGACTTCATTTCAGTATTCCTGTGGTGAACCATACAGAGAAGGAACAAAGACAATGGACCCAAAGCAAAACAAGCTTGGCAGTGAGAATTGGACATGGCCTTATTGCAAAATCAATGCTAGGTCAAGGAAGTTTCTCAGAGTTCATAACAATCTTCTGTGCCATGTATTTTTTATGGCCAATGAAGCACAGAGTAAAGATTTTTATTGGAGCAACTTCAGTGGGTAACAGTGTAAAGGTTTTAAAGTGTCTATTCCAGGAACAGTTCAATTAAAACAAAAACTCTCATCCTTATCTTTGCTATTTTGCAACTTGTAAGAACAGATTGAGTGACATTACACAATAACACACACATTTCACAATTATATCATCTTTCATATGACTTTTCCAATAATTGTCTGGGTCATGTATTTATTTATATATTTATTTTTATTTATTTATTCAACTTGTATAGCCACACATCTCACAGATGTGAATTTGGGCAGCTCATAACAATCAAAACAAAAGAACGATACACAAAGGAAAATAAAAATAACAATAAAAACTAGAAGAGTATTGTGTCTCCTTACAGATGAACGCATTCATTGTGCTAGTTCACTTCATTAGTTCCATGATACATTTTCCTAAAATATAAATAGGTATGTATGAAACGTGTGTGTGTGTGTAGTTAATCGAATCTTGTCAACTGCATAGCTGTTTTTATCTTCCTCTTTGTTCTCTCATACTGTATATGAAGGATTCATAGTTTATCTACTAATTATACAGATTAATATAGCTCAAATTAATTAATTTGCATATGTTATGTTGCTTCAACTATTAATGAAATGCATATATTTATCAGAGAGATTTGACTGAATTCATTCTAGTGTGAAAAGCATATAACCTGTGGCTGTTTTAGATTATGTGACTTTTCTAACATATGGATACACATGTCTCTATCTGTCTCTCTGCCTCCTCTACATCTCTCTACCTTACAGGTATGCAAATGTCTCCTATCAAAACATTCTGAGCTGGAAACCTCACAGATTGACCCATTGACCCATTGAAGCATGGAATTATTGTTGCTTTGAGTGTTCTGGGAGCATAACACAGCTCTGCTTTTGAGCTTGAAATACTTTGAAAAATGCTCAGGGCAGCCCATCTTATGTTACAACAGCAGGCTTCCATTCATAATGGGACATGAATGTTACAAGATGAAACAATGTGTATTAAGCTAATCTGAGGAATAGACACTAGTGCACCAGCACTGATACTGAATCAATGTGGTGCTCCTTTATTCTTTATTGTCTTTTAGCAATAAAGTCATAGAGCAATACTTTGAGAAATTGTTTTGCTTTTCTTATCAGTTTTTCATCTGGCAGCACATACTTCTTTCAGAAATAGTATTTTTAGCACATGATGCAAATGTAATAAACACATTAAATAAAATAAAACTCAATTAACTAATTAACATGTGTTTAATGGATTTGCAACACTAATCTAAGAAATTATGATGGCTTCAGTTCTTGGTGTATTGTTAGTATTTTCCCTCCTGAAACGTATGAACCATCTACATTCATCCTGCATAACTTTTTCCCTCAATCAGATAGGATCATCCTCTGGGATGGAATTTGAAATCAGATTTTTGTCTCAGCCTGACAAGAGAGAAGGCACATCTTCCATTCCATCTACATATCTGAATTCAAACCCATGTTTTAGGCTTGTCTTCATCTAGGCTTAGCAATTAACTAGTCAGCTGAGCTAGGTTTCCAGTACAGATGAATGTAAATGCATATCCAAACATATCCAATTCAATAAACAGCACTTTGGAATGATGTTTTCAAATTTGCTTTCATTTTAGCTGCTGGACAGTGCTGCAAATTGGATAGTATCCTGACCAAAATTATGCAGAACTTTTGAGAAGCACTGATCCATATAACTCCAAACGGACATCAGCACTTCATTAAGTTAACCTCATAAGAAGCAGTCATAAATTTATCAACTGGAAAGAAACAAAGAATAGGTCTTGACAAACTAAAACTTACCTTTATTATCCCACCATCTCTTTATTTCCAACATTGAATCCATCAGTGTTTTGTCTATTGTTGGCCACTCATCACTGTTTACAGTTTTATTTACAACATGACAGCCACTGTAATTTTTTTAATGCTTTATTTATCCAGCTATGGGTTTCTTTTGCTATTCAGAAACCTTGGCATTTCTTCTTTTACTCACTTGATATTTGCTCCATGAGTGGTTTTGAGCACTTATAAACTCACAGTGCCCACTTTAAAAGTGATCACGTGATAGGTCTAATTATATAGCTTCCATTTCAGTCTTTTTAGTGTGCCTGAGTGCATGTGTAGGGTTATTAGCCTTTATTTGCTTATAATCTCCTAAATGTATATGCAAACTTGGAATGCGTAACCAAACCAAAATACACATTTTTGCAACATTTTGACACAGTCTGCAACTAAAATGTCTATATTGGAGAATGGAACACCTTAAAAATACAATTTATTCTGGAAAATAACTTAGAAAAATGATGTGTAGTAATGAAAACATGAACACTAGAAATGTACATGAAAATGCAACTAATTATTTGCACAGACTTTTTGTGGCGTGAGGTAAATCGTTGTCAAAAATGGCTGAACAAAATTTGGAGTTGGTAAATTGAGAGGGGGAACAGAATCACCCTTTTGAAAACCAAGAATAGCTGTAGGTTCTTGAAAACAATGGAATAACAATGAAATTACAGTCAAAAATCTTATTTTAAGGAATTAGGAATTAGAATTTAAGGATACATTGGATACTGCCTTGTCCTTCCAAGCAAGATAAAGTCAGCTACAATATCCCACTCCCCAACAGACCAAAAGATGAGATTCCTAGTCCAAGCCAAAGATGGGATTCCAATTTTTTTACACCATAAGCAGAATCTGCTGTTTCTTAAGAAATTTGTATATTTTAATCTAACTAGTTTTTCACTACATTCACTTCAAATTCCAAAATACCATTTAACATAACTTCCAAGCTCATTTGTGACTGTCTCAGACAGTAGAAATCTGACAGCAATTCTGAAAACAGGAATTAACTTTGCAATAGATTTAGGAATTATTACAGTTACCGGAGGAGTAGCTATGCAGATAGAAAAGCTGTATGATATATAATAAATCTGTCACAGGAATATATTTCATAAAATATGACCAATGAAATCTTTATGAGTACAATATGTGTTAGTCTTCAGGATATCTCAGAAGTTTTTGTTATCAAATTATAAGCAATATCCCATAAAGTACTTCAGTTTATGTCTTTAAAACCACACCAAGTTTTTAAAAATACAAACAGAATTTTCAAGTTTCAGTAGCTAATATTTTTTGACTACATTCCAATTTCCTACAATAAAGATTTCATTTAGTAAGCTAGCAAAATTAATAATACATTATTAATATTTACTAAATTAATAATTGCTGTAAATAATCATAATAATAATCTTTACTGCTTTATTCCTCTTCAGGTCAAGTGACTGGAATTCATGGACAAAAATAGAACTAGCATGTTCAAATAACCAGAACTTAGACTCTTTGGTCTATGGTAAAAATTATTTTGTACTTCAGACACCATTCTATTTGAGGCAGGTACAAACCACAAAATCCACATTTTTAATTAATTGCCACTTACCTTTCACTATTAATTCTGCATAGTTTGAAACTCCCGATCCACCATCAGAACGGATTACACATCGGTATTTACTGATACTGCGTTGGGATGTATCAGCTACACTGACTGTAGCAGAAAAACGTCTATGGTTGACTACTCTGGTGACCATTAAAGCTGTGTCTCTTCCATTCCACTGCTGCCACACAAACAGAGGCAGAAAGATCAAGGTGAGTATCTTATGCTCATGAAAAGAGTATTCTTAACTCATGTTAGCTTCCATCTTTGTAATTCTTACAAAAACATGACACTTGTTTTCCCAAATGAATTACTTAAACTTAGTGTCTGTTCCTAAAATTCAATTCCACTTTTAGATCAAGAGCAGTAGTTACCACATATTTTACTACCTGCTCTACTACATGAGTAGTCCTTCCTTAGGGAAGGAAGCCGGTTGGATGATTTTGGGCCAGTCACACTCCATCAGCTTTAGAGTGGGAAGTCAAAAAAACATCTTTCTACCAGCCTACACTGGACCAGCCTGGTAGATTACGGTTCATAACCTTCAGTGAAGAGACCTTCATCCTGCAGTGGATTGAGTCAGGCTGATAACAGATTGCAGCACAGCATTGTTCCATTATAAAAGCTATAAATAAGAAAAGGTTGGATTTGTACAAATGTAAGAATTCTGAAATGTGTGTAGTTTATGGGGATTCAAAGGTCACCTAGTGGGTAAGATGTATGATTTCATTTTCTTCCTGACAGTATAAAGTGACTCAGGCTTCCCTTCTGCAGATATTAGGCCGAGATCAAAAACTCATTGACTTGGATGTAATAAAAGTATGTAGGATGCACAATCCAGCGATAAACTCCACTGAATTTTGTTTCAACATGTACTGTGGCCTTGTACTGCCTCACGGCAGATGAAAGAATCATAACAACCGCCTTCAATTTTTTTTTGAAAACCCTTATTTATTCTGATTTCTTTTTCAACATATATGCTAGCTGTGAATTAAAAAAAAACACAGGTATATCGGTTGTTATTTTCAAGGACAAACAGATAACTCAGATGATTGGCAGGACGTATTTGTGCTGGGTTTAGAGAATGCTTGTCAGAGGCAATCTGTTCAGCTGAACAAAGAGTACAGTCAGTTCTTCACCGTAAAGCTAACAATTCTAGAAGTAGTCGTAGTAGTAACAACCACAACCATCCTTGAGAAAATAGTAGCTGAGATTTAGCTGAGATACTTTACAATTTCTAACAAAAGGTGTGATTGAAAATGATTAGGATCAGATCCATGAATGTAGATTAATAAAGTAGTATGACTGGAATAAATTATGCATGCAAATAAAATCTTTAAGTAATTAAAAAGACTTCAAGTGGAAATAAGGTAAGCCATCCTGAAATTTCCTCACATTGATCTTATTCTACTCTTTTGAAAGATCAGGCTTTTAGTGCCTTTCTTTTTCTTCATAGCCCTGAAATCAGATCTCTAATTCTGCTAATTCTGATTTTTCCATTGGGAACATAAGAAACATTTGGTTCATTTATGCAATATAAAGGTATATAATAAGAAAGTAGGGTAGAAATATAGTAGATAAATGCACACATTTATAAAATATTTCCTATAATATTAAGCATGTAACTGCTTAAGGCTCTAAGAATGTTCAGCTGAATAATTTTTTACGGCACACGTTTAAACCCTGTTTTATGTGTTTTAAAATGTTCTCTTACAGAAAGGGAATTGCTGAATATATACATGGAAATTCTCCACAGGATTCACAGTATCTATTTGCTGATAGATGATAAATATGGTGATCCATCTACGCTTTGAAACTTCTAAAGAACAGAAAGGCTCCATTGTCCTTTTACCTGTAGCCACAATTTGTCATGCTGAGACCACTTTCCTCCTGCAATGCACTGGAATGTCGCGTTCTGTCCAACATTAACCTCCACGTTTTGAAGCCGCAGGAAATGAGGAGCTTTTCCTAACAAAAATACAAAATATCACTGGGATAGACCATCATAATGCATCATGACAGCAGAGGTAGAACGAGAATCAGTTTCTTTCAGTTTTTTGTTTTGTTTTGTTTTGTTTTGCAATGATGCCAAGTTTCCCCCAGAAGAAATGACCTAGCAACGCAGTGCTGAGCTTGTCTTTTGGTTTTCTTCTTTTAAATGCAGACCGCCTTTGCTGTTCTAGCTAAGGAGAGGAAAAGCAACACAATGACCATCTTGGCATGAACAGTGTGCTATAAATAACTGTTCTGCAACAAAAGGATCCCACGTTGCCCAAGAGTATATTTCAATTAATGTTTGTTGGAAGCAAAAAGCAAATGCCCTCTGTGGAAAGATGGATAAATAATGTTTTTTAAAAAGAGAGAAATCAAGGAGTAAATCATTTACAACGAATAGTTTGTAAAACAAACCTAAGCAAAGGCATTTATGCTAAGCCTTAAAGCTCCTCCTCAGTTGTTACACCCACTTATGACCATTGATTGTGCATGGCTATTATGCTCAACCATTGTTTAGTGTAAGATACCTCCATAAGCACCTTTCCTATTCCCCAATCCTTTCAACAAGTTTTAAGGTGCTACTGATCTCAGAATTACTGAAAATATCCAACTAGGAGTGTTTCTGTATCTCTCCTGTTGTTTATTAGGCAAACCCAGAAATCATCATTCAGTCAACTACTGGATGGTAGTTCATGGAGTAACAAAAAGCTTATCATCCCCAACCCACACCAAATAGGATAAAATGTTCCTCCATGCATATATATTTTCAGTACAAGTGTATTCTTGCCTGGCTGTTTTACACACACACACACGCACATGCACACACACACCAAAAAACTCAAGCTGCCTGGTCCTCAAGACATAATTCTTTATGAATTTTAATTCCCATTAATATTGTGATGACTGTGATGACAACATGGCACTGTAATTTTGCAGCCAACTGTTCCCAACAGCTTCAACCATGGTTGTAGGTTGAAATGTACAGTTTGTAAGTGTGTGTGGAAGAATTAATGGCTTGGTTGAGTCTAGCACTTAGGACATGGGATGAGGCAATTATTCAGAGTACATGCCTTATAGCAGTATACACAATCTAATTATGGATGAGTAAACCAACCTGCTACACATAACTGAAACCTGGGTGAGTCCAGAAGGGAACTTTCCTTCACAGAGTTATGCCCACCTGAATTTCATGTTTGCCACCAGCCTCAAAGCAAGGGAAGGTGAGGTGGGGGTGGCTATTATCATATGAGAGGCTTCGATGATTTTTAGAGGCTCTACCCTGCAGATAACCAGATGTGAAACTCTTTGGCTGAAGTTGGGCTCTAGGGAACAGTTGGGTTTGTTGCTGCTGTAGCACCATCCCTGCAGCACAGCAACGTCCATGCCTGATCTGCTGGACTCTAACACAGGATTAACAATAGAATTCTCAAACCTGTTAGTTCTTGGAGATTTCAACTTGACCCCAGGTAATGTAGAATTGGGGGCAGATCAGGCAACCATGGACCTCACCCAAGTCATTGAAGGCCCAAAACACACTGGGTTTGTTTTTGGACAGTTGCAATATAATCTGGTGGTGGAGGACATTACTATCAGACCTTTACTACTGATTGCATTTTCGCTTAGCACAGCTGTCTGTCTGTCCCAGACAACTAAAAGACTCAGGGGAAGGAGGTGCAAAGAGAGCTTGGGATCTACCCTGGATATCTGTTGGGCAGTTTGGCCAATGACTTAGTTGTGGCTTGGAATGTGCAGGTGATAGAGAGCGTGGATCAAATGCTCCTATGCAGCCTCTTAATGTGTGCTGATCCTTTCTCTGGGGAGCTCTGGTCACCACATGGACACAACCACATGTCACCTCCTGAGCAACCTTTACAAGCAAGAAGGGACATGGTTTAAACTGGGGGTCTCAGGAGAAATCCCTAGAGTACTTTTGGAGAAAGATGAAGAGTAAATCCAACCAAGCACAAGTAAGCACCCATATTAAGGATTATATCGTAAAGATAAGAGTGGCAAAAGGTAATTATTTCTCCACAGTTGTAGTATCCATAGATAGCTGCACAGTGGCTATGTTTAGAGTGATTCATTCCCTGCTTGGGAGGGATGAGCCGCAGCATCATCTGCAGGGCTGCTGTGAGGAATATTCCAGCTATCTGGCTAGTAAAGTCACTTGGAACTGTACAGAGTTGTACTTTGACTGTGCAAGTCCTGTCAAGGTGCTTGAGCCATCATCTAGAGGACTTAACTGGAATGACTTTAAGCCAAGGAAGTAGATAAGGATGTTAGCTTGAATGTTTCCTCTTCTGGATGTGCATTGTTCTTTTCTTTGTTTATTATTGTTATTGTTTTTAATGTTGTACAGCACCCAGAGTCTTTTGGAAATTGGGTGGCTTTCTAAATTTGACAAATAAATAAAATAAATTTGACCAACAAAATTAAGGTTGAGTTCATCAATAAGGTTGCCTGTGAAATCTACAGGAGAGTTCCAATTTCAGGTAGCTGGCATAGCTAATAGTATATATGAATAGGAAGATGGACTGCTCCCAGCCCTAGGGACTCATTATTGCAAACTGAGACATCAAACTTTCTCACTAAATGAGGAAGAGGAGGAGACCGATGCAATCCAATTCCGCACAGATCCAATCAAGAGGGTTGCATCTAAGTAAGTGAATATCAGATGAAGCCTGATACCTAAAGTGTAAACTTAACTTTATTCCATTACTACTTACTTAGGCTAAACTTTCAGTAGAATGAGTTCTCCACTCTGATTAACTAAACTTACATGTGTATTAACAGTAAAAGTGGCAATTTGAAGAAAGAAAATTAGTCCAATACAACATAGAAGTAAAAGAAGTAAAAATTAGTCCAATAAAATATATATTACACTTATCTTAAGGACAAACTCTGTAATTATTTTTCCCAACAGAATAACCCAGCCACAAGGAATCACATCTCTGTGTCTCAATGCCATACAGCTTGAAGCTATAACTGACTAGCATTTATTATTATTAATTATTATTATTAATTATTAATTAATTAATTAATTAAACTTCTGTGCCTCCCAACTCTCAACAACTCTGGGTGGCTCACAACAAATGAAGAAATTACAATAATATCAATCACATAAATACTAAGGATAAAAGATGGCAAGTGCAATGAAGCGAGGAGTCTCACTCTCCCTTACCAAAGGCCTGGGTGAAGAGTTGCAGCTCTTCTAAACAACAGCAGAGTGGGGGCCATCTGGATCTTTCAGATGAAAGTCACTTTCAGAGGAAAGTTCTAATTGGCCCCATACATAAGTTTATAGCCTGTCCAGGGTAAAGAAGAGCACCCTGGCCATGTTTCACGTTGGAGCCGTCCTTCCAGAATATCTCCAATACTAGGTTGCTTGTTCTTTCATAACGTCACTAGCATTTCAAATATGTAACCAAAGCAAATGCTTTTTGGGTGTCAAGATCCATTTCCTTTTCCACTCATTTCTATGTATTGCATAAATGCAATGCATGGATGTTATTAACTGATGTTACCCACTATTAAAATATGTTTGGTTCTATGCTATAACTGCATTCCAGAGGCAAACAATTCAAGATGTTCACCAAATTTGACTCTTCAAAGATTCCATCTCAGAAAATGTATCCGTGATTAATAGTAAATGATTTGCTAAACCACAGCATTTTACAGTAACTATTTACTGTAGAGTCCATTAGAAGTGGAATGGGAGATCCCTGATCAGAATCTCCTTCAGATTTTAGCAATCACAGAATCCAATCATGACCACAGTGCTGGAGAAGAAAGACTTTAATCTTTTCAGCCATCTATATTTTTTATATTAAAATCATTCCCCAAACCTGCTATTTGCTCCAGATAGCAAAATAAACATCCATGATAAGGAAAAACTAGCTAGTATCTGTTAACAGCATGTATTGTACTCCTGAAGAACCACATCCAGTCAGTCAAGTTAAGTAGTGCTATGCCATCCCTTTTAGCCAGTCAGTAATTTATCCATGTCAAAATGTATTGATGTACTAGCTCTTGGCTGAAGCAGGGTCATAGATCTGTCATCTGAAATGGAGAGCCCTTGATACAAAGCAATACTGCTTCTGTAGAATATTTACAGCAAACAATTTTGACAGTTAATGCCTTCCATTCCTTCCAACTTCAGTGTATGGACCTATTTAATTGACAATAATTCTAAGATTTTAAGTCCTCTGGCACTTCTGACTTAGAACAAGGAAGCATTTACTAATAGGAGCAGGCAAAATCTGCTTGTTTGCATGTTAATACAAACCACACTAATCTACATTTTCCAAACTGATATGTAAAGCACCATGCAATTACCCTTTTTTTGGCTGGGGTGTGTGTGTGTGCTGGTTTTAATTTCTTTGAACATTTTGATACAATTCCTTAACCATAAATAGACAAGAACAGTTAGGGAAAATAGCGTGCAGAATTATTGCAAAAGGATGCTAGTGGACGCTCAGTTGTACGTATATTTCTACCCCTGCTGATTGCAATCTTATTTCTCAAATAGTTTATATTCTGTTATGCTCAGCTTGGAAAGTTAGTAAACTCTCCTTCAAGTCACTTTTCATAATTTCATGGACAAATCCATGTCGTTTTCCTGGTGATGAAAGAAAAATGATTTATCATTTAGTTCTTGTGAGAGAATTTTTAACTTCTCAGTCTTACCTATAGCCCTAGTATTTTTTTTTTTTTTGGTTGTCTCCTATTCATGCATTAAGATCCTGTTTAGCTTTTCAAAATCATGAATTATTCATGAAACTCACACTGGATGACTAGGCCAGTCACTGTGACTTTCTGCACAGAGTTTTTTGGGGGGAAGGGTAGGCAGGGGGGTTGAAAGGCAGGGAATGAGAACTATATATGCCACATTAACTATATGAATTAAGATCAGGATACTACTTTAAATAAAAAGTCCTGCTATGTGAACAGAAGAACTTTGAAGTTGAATTTTCATTCTTCTACAGAATTCTGAACTTTATAGATTTCTGAAATAACTAATGAAGATAGGGCTCATTTTAATTAATTTCAGATTTTTCTATAACTAGGTGCAAAGGGAATAGGAATAGCCATTTTGGAACAATGGAGATAGATTAATTTCTGCTAATTTGGGTGGAAGGAACACACTGGACTGACAGTACTATTCTTCTGCTCCCAAACTCTTTATGTAGTACCTAGTATATGTATAGACGACCCTATCTCACATTCAAAACTCATATTTAGAATACTAGTTGTCATATTACTTTTTGCAATAATTCTATCATAATATCACAATTTTGAGTTTAAATATATCAGGAAAGCATGGAGACAAAGTTTGTGAAAGAAAAGGCTGCAGTCACACTCATTAAACACTGAGTTATCAGGTTATCCACATTCTTTTTATGAAGACCAGATTGATGCTTTAAATTTATCACCTGGGAATAGAAAAATCAGACTGCCACAACTTTCTCAGTACAGATTTCTAGAAGATTCTGAAATGGGCATCCCATTAAATGTTTTGCACTAGGAGGGCCAAGCTATCTGAATTTTCTGAAACCTATGATTCACCATGCCATCATTTTCCAAGAATATTCTGGTAATTCCTTGAAGATGGGCAATCTGCAAAGCTTCTTCTTTGCACATTAATAATGGGTTTATTATGCACTGAGTAGATGAAAGCTTCTGAACCAACTTAGGGCAGTTTGATTCAAGAGTTCCAGCTCATTTTGCAAAAGTGAAAGATGTACCCACAGTTGATTTGCATTATTTACAAGGCACTATAGATGAGGGTTCTACATCATTTCATCCTTTCAGCAACAACCCTTACATACAGCAGTATCTGTAGCAAACTGTGATCATGCCAAAATGGCAGCACAACATGGTGACATCATCATACAAATGCCACTATTAGATGTCTCGACATCTACCCAAGATGCCTAAGTCAAAGCATTTGTATGATGACATTGTCACACAAGTTTCATCATTTACCCGTCAGGGATGCTTACACTGGCAAGGTAAGTTGGAGCGCGGTTGCGTGGCCTAAGTTATTCAGGAAACTGGCTCTCATAAATTTTTTGAAATTTATCTAAAAATCTATACTTAGCATCCTCCTGTTGGTGGGACTTAGAAGTTCTTTATTCTGCATACTTTGCCCTAATTATTAAGCTCTCCATAGAAATAAAGAAGTCAGATAATCCCATGAGCATACAAAACAGCCTAACTTAACATCCAAATTCATACTGTGTAAGTTTTCTCCTTTACGGTTATGAACTGGGTATCTTTAATGTCGATTTGACAGAGATTCCTAATTGAATGCTTTTAAAATAAATCTGAATAGAACAGCTGAAAGAAAATACAGTAGCCTAGGAAATGTAGCAAAACAATCTTTGACTTCTTTCTCTACTTCACAGTATGAGTCACATGCTTTGAAAGTGATACATATTTTTTAAAAACTCTTTCAAAGAGGCACTGCAAAGATTTACATTTCTTTAAAGAAAAACACTCCAGGCCTTTTTTTCCTCCAGTGTGAATGTTGCGCTAATTTGCTTAGTTGTATACGTGAAGGTTCTCCTCCCCACCCCAACTTTCTCTCTTTAAGTTAATTCTATAAGGAATCACTAAAACCCTGTAATTCTTTCCCTTCAATGGTCCGAACGACCAGGCCTTTATTTCCCTTTAATAATGGTTTAAAATTTTGGCACTTGCTGCACATTTGAAGCAGCTTTGCTTGTTGTACAACTTGAGAAATTATGCATTTATTCAGGGTTGATTGCTTCCACTCCACAAGCATTTGGAATAGATAAAAGAAAATGTTTCAGAACTGACTAAATTGGGTAAATTACTCATTTGAACATGAAATGCATTGCTATGGTTAGGAGGAAAAGGGGGAGAAAAAAGATGCTTACTGCATGGATGAGCAAGGACTCTGACTTCATCCACAGCTATGTACCCAGGATGTCCTTTCAAGGAAACTGATTCAAATATGACCTGAAATGCATAGGGGACAACAAGCTGATTAAGTAAACAATTGAAAATTATACAGAAACCATCTCTCTAACATAGCTTAAGTACAAAGCATTCAAACTTCAGATTCTGTAATAGATGCTTTACAGATAATCCTTGTTTAGCAACCACAATTCAGACCAACTTGGTTGTTAAACAAAGCGGTCACTAAGTGAAATCACGACTGTGCTTATGATCTTACTTCAGCTTTCCTTTGCTTTACAGACCTGCAAAGTCCGTAAATATGAGAATTGGTCATAAAGTTACTTTTTCATCATTGTTGTAACTGTGAATGGTCACTAAACAAGGCATTCACTAAACAAGGACTACCTGTATTTCACAGAGCACCAAAGCACCTCCACTAAAAAGAATAGAAATGTGCATGTATGTACGTACAACACTGTGCACTAAAAAAACGGTATTAACAATAAAAATAAGCATGAAACCAGCTATATCTTAATTAAGCCCCAGAACTATGATGGCAGAAAGAAATTATAAGAAAAAAATCAGAACTGGAAATGTGAATTTTTTAAATACCCATTATGCCTTTTTCCCCCCCTGGCATGTTATTCAACCTATTTAGTAACCTCATGACATAATCATATTATTTTCTGTATCTCAATCCATTTGCAACTAGTGGGAAATTGAGAAAGGAAAACACATTAGGATATGTTATGATGTGCTAATCATAACAAAGAATTTAGGGAAAAGTCCACAAGGTTATTGCATAGGTTTGCTGAATTTAGGGAAAAGACATTCAAGGTTATTGCATAGGTATTAATGGGCATATGTTCCCTCATCCCTGTCCCACATAGTTCCTTAACTACAATCAGTGGTTCATCTGTGGTATAGCATGACACACAAACACAGAATGGCTGTTATTATGGAAACTGAAATCAACTCTTCTAACTAGAAGTGTTGCCTTTTTGCATCTGAATAACCTGCTTAACCAGAGAAGAGTTGAAGGTTAGTTGCTGAATTTGTCAGAGTAATATAATATGGAAGTAAATGGAATGCTTACTGAAATGTTCAACATTGAGCAAGGAGCAAGACAAGGCTAAATAATGTCTCCTTGATTATTTAATGCATTTAGAAATAATTGTATAAGGCATGCTGCTGGGAAGTTTGTCTGACATGGTAGAATTTTTACAAAAGATGAGTAATGGAGAGAGAAATGTTAAGATGTACAAATCCTGGTAGAAAGATAGTAGGTGATATGAGGTGTGAATGCTTGATGAAAAAATAAAAATAAAAATGACTGTACCCACTTATATGAAAGTGAGAATTCTGTATGTCAGAAGGAACATGAATGCAGTGGGAATGGAGTACTTCTGCGTGGGTGATATGATCCAGAATGTATGGATGCTGAATAAATTACTCTTATGAAAGACATATGTTCAGTTTGATCATATGCAAGTGGATTGAATTGCAAAGGAAATATATATGTTATAGAATGAATTAATGGCCAGACAATAAATGGTTAAAAAGAATGCACCACAGAAGAAACCTGAAAAGTATGCACATGCAAGGTCATATCAAGTTGTTCCAAGCCAAGTTATGAAGGGATATAGAACCCTTGAAAACATTTTTCAGATAAGATTCTTGAACTCCCTATGGTTATGGAATGGTCATAGAAAATGACATCCTGATGAGATGGTTAACTATCAGCGTTTGATAAATGATAATGACAAAATGCGTGAGGCTTAGGTAACCCAGCAATCAAGATGAGGTAATCTAGCATTGCTTATAAAAAAGAGCTGGAGGGGAGAGAAATCTGAAGTGCCATTTTCTATTCCATCAAGATTCATCTTGAAGAGCACTCCAAGGGGATTTCCCATGCCCTTTTGTTACCTGGCAACAAGAAGGATCTTTGGTATGTAAGATCTAAATGATGTGAGATGCTTATGTTACTAGAATAAAGCTTTTAAAATCTACCAATAGTCCCCTGGAATTGTGGGATGATGTTGTTGGATGGTCCCAATTCTATAAAAGAGGACAAGCCTCCTTCTAACATATGAAGAAAGACTGAATAAGTTAAGAGGAAGGGAACATCAAGAAAGTCATGGCTGGACAGAGATGGTGAGATCCACAAAAAGAGAGACGTGAGAAGTTAAAGCACATATGAAGCAATGTACAGACATGGTGGAAGCAACAATGGTTTCTGAACCATTTTAGTGTAAACTAGTTTTATCTACTTTTTTTTTTTTTTTAATCTCATGCTTCTAATTTTGGGGGCTTACTATTTCTTATTCTTTTTGTGTGATCCGAATAGCATTACCCTGCAATATTTATCATGCACAGTGAGTGATCCATGTGTATGTATGTATACATTAAATTGTCCCAAATGGTTTATATAAACGAAGGTAAGTCATTGTGATTTTGGCAACTCCCAAACAATTGGCTAATTGGCTCAGTCATGATGCATAATTTGGGGTCATCACTCAGATTCAGAGAAAAAAAAAATCCTAGAGCAGTTTGGGGAAAATCATCATCATCATCATCATCATCATCATCATCATCATCATCATCATTATTTTTTATTATTATTATTATTATTATTATTATTTTTAAAAAACCCAGTTGTCTAATTCCTTTAGGGGTAATCTTTCAAAAGTCATTCCAATAGTAAGCACAGCCAAAACAGGATTTGGGGTAGCATCCCATTCTCCCTTTCTCTTTCTACCTCCTCCATTTCCCTCTGTGCCACTTTTCCTTCTCATTCAATCATTTGACCAGGCTTACCCATGAAAAAGAATGAATTGTTCAAGGTAAATGATACGCAAGAAGCATGCTGGATATAAGAGAAAAATTAATTTTTGTAAGTGATTGAATATGGTCAGCTATCCAAGTTTCAAAAATTCAGCACTACCAGTCAGATCTACACTTAGGTTTGTATTGGACAGATTAAAAAAAAAAAAACATTTCAGTTTAATGTAGTGTGTACAGTATCTGGGATTTGGGCTGATATTCTGTATGGCAAGGAAAACCGGACTGCACAAATCAGTAGATTTTACCTCTCGTTAGGACACGTTCATATATTTGATTTGTGAGTTGTGGTAGTTTTAATTGATGATGATGATGATGATGATGATGATGATGATGATGATG